CTGTAGAGTGGGGGTCAGGACCAGGTGATGTCTGAGCTCGGGAGTGCTGCTAACCTACAGGAGACTGTGCAGATCTGGGTGGATACAGCCCTGTAGTGCACGGCTTAGTGACGAGGTGACACCTTTGTGTTAAGGAAAGGGCACCCCATGTGGGGGCAGACGCAGCCCATGCCGGAGCTCAGCGCTTGCTGACCAGAGCAGAGGAAGGGTTTCAGTGCCCTCCCGCTCAGCTGGGCACCTTTGTGCAGGTCACACGATGCACAGTCTTGAACTGTGGCTGGGTCTGAGTTACCAGCGTGGTACTTTCTGGGTCAGTTGGCCAAGGGAGGAAGGAAAATGAAAGCAGTAAAGATGCTGTCTCAGGCTGCCCCCTGGTGGTCACCTGCCGCATGACATGCGCAGCTCCGGAAAAGCATCTCCAAGGTCTCACCTGTCTATCTTGGTCCTAACAGGGGGACCTCCTCCCTACCCGCAGCGATCCAATGCCCATGCAGTCAAATACCGGGTTCTTTTAATGTTTTTTAAGCTTATTTTTTAGAGTGAGATTGACAGCGCAAGCAGGGGAGGGACAGAGAGAGAAGGAGACAGAATCCTAAACAGGCTCCATCCAGGCTCTGAGCTGTCAGTACAGAGCCAGACACGGGGCTCAGACTCACGAACCGCGAGATCATGACCTGAGCTGAAGTCGGATGCTTAACCGACTGAGCCCCCCAGGCGCCCCAGAATACCATCTTCTGAACCCTGAGAAAGGGATCCTGTCATGAAGCAGCCACTGTGGACCAGGACAGGGACAGGTCTCTTCCTGGTGTCCCCAGTGCCTGGCACAAAGGTCGTGTCTCCTCCATCAGACTTACAGCTCCCTGAGGACTCCGCCTCCCCTATCAGATGGCAGCTCACTCTTCTCTCTCTGTCTGTCTGTCTCTCTCTCTCCCTCTCCCATCTAGTTCAGCTTGTTGCCTAGGGGGTCACGGGGGGAGGACTCTGACCTGTCACCTGACTTCAGCTAGAAGCCCCGAGTCCCGAGGCTGGGGTTCTTTCTCAGGCTTCCTGGAAAGGCCCCAGGCAGAGCTGGGCCTCCAGAGAAATAGGCCTGCGGAGGCTGGTTCCGGCCTCAACAGCACCTGAGAGAGACCGGAAGGAAGCTCGGTGTGCAGATGAGGGAACAGAGGATGGGGCTTCCCATTGCCCTGTGGATGAAGGACAGATTCCCGCATGAAACCCCACGGGAACCGGCTCCTTTAGCCTGCCCCCCCCCCCCCCCCCCCGGTCTGTGCTCCAGCCACCGCCACGGCCTCTCGTCCTCCTGAGCGTCTGTCCCACCACCAGACCATTCAGGCTGCTGCCCCCGCAGCTTGGCTGCCAGGCTGAGTCCTGCCCCCCCTTCGGCTGTGGACTCGGTCACTGTCCCTTCTCCCAGAAGCCTCCTCTGCACCTAACACCGCCAGATAAGGCTTTTCTCTTCCACACTGTCAACAGCTCTCTCCTAGCACTTCTCGGGGTTGTGATTCTCAACTTACCTGGGTCATTACTGGATTAATACCTCCTTCCCCCCAGCGAGTCTCCCTCCCCCAGTGAATGGGAACCTCGTCTGTCTCATTTATGTCACTCAGTGCCACACGGGGCTGGGCACATACTAGGTGCTCAGTAAACACCAGTTGGCTGAAGGAAAGGCTGCTTCAGTCACTCCTGGCCCTAATCACTTTCCAGATGTGTGACCTTGGACAAGACTCACTTTCTGTTATTCAGTTAGTACTTACTGAGCACCCACCATGCACCGTTGTGGGCATACGAGTCAAGTATAGATATGCTGGGTTTCCAATTCTGTTCCTTTTTTTTTTTTTTTTTTTTTTTGCTTGTCCAGTGCTGCCTTTCCTGAGAAACCAATACTGAGGTATGTGAGGCCTGGAGATGGGCAGCACAGAAGTCTTGCCCTCTCCCACCGGCCCCCCAGACATCCTGTACGCCAGTCCCCTGTGCACCCCCCAGCATCCCTGTTCCCATACCTTTGTGCACACAGAGCGCTGCTCTGTCTTTGCCTGCCACCGTCCACTCCACCTTCAAATTCCCATTGCAGGGTCACCAACACCTTGAAGCCATCCCCATGGTCCTTGGCAGAAGCAATTCTGCTTCTACTCTACAACACTCGGCTGGTGTGGGGATGCACAACTGTCCACACTGACCCAGGCTATTTATGCACATGGCTCCCCCCAGGCCATGCCATCCATACACACATAGACCGAGTGTGATTCATCCCTGTGAGGCTCCGGTTGATTGATCTCTCCCTGGCCAGCCCCTGCAGCATTCGCTCTCCACGCTCCAGCACCCAGCCCAGGGCTGGGCACTCAGGAAGGGCTAGTGAGCGTCTGCTTGTAAGAACAGCAAGGGCGGCAGGCCATAGGTGTGGGGGCTCTGGACGGATCCCCAAAGTCCTGATGGGAGAATGGGATTCAGGGCACCACCTGGGCACTCTTTCCCCTGGTCCCCTCACTCACGCGAGGGCCTCTTTCTCTCCCCGCTCCCCCACGGATGGGTGGAGCAAGGAGGACACTGGGGGAGGGTAATAGAAGGTCACAGGGCAGATGGACTGTGGGCGGATCTGGGAAAGGACAGCTTGCCCCCGGGGAAGGACAACCTTACATCTTAGAGCTGTCTGGGAATCTGGGAATCGTCGGCTTCAGCAGAATCCCAAGGACCAGGAAGGTGAACGTGGGTGAGCAAAGGGGAGCTGCCCACCCTTGCGAGGCCCGGTTTGCCGTGAGTGCCAAGCTGGGCCGACAGGCAGGCGACCCGGGTTCGACTCTCTATCAGTGTGCTGTGTGACCTTGGGCAAGCCCTTGTCCCTCTCTGAGCACCAGTCTGTACAGCGAGAGGACTGAGTCAGTGTGGAGCTGATCGGCATGAATGCCAGAGGCTGGGATGGCCAGAGCCACCTCACCCCACCCTGGCCATATCTCTGAAACGGTGAGCGGGGGGTGGGGGGGGGATCCTGCGTGGGGCCACTGCCCAGCCCCATCCACCTGTCCCTGTCTTAGGCTGAAGGGGGCGCAGTGGGCTCCCCAGGCATCCCCTCCCCTGCGAACGGCTCCTTCTCTGCTGGGGTCCCCCTCCCCGCCCCTCCCGCCCCTAGAGCTGCTAGGCTGCCAGCTGAGAACATCAGCAGTTGTGACCAGCCTCCTGCGTCATGGTGAGTCAGAGCCATCCCTCCCAGCCAAGCCCAGTCACCCCACGACAAGAAGAGAAAGGACACCTTGCCCCCCAGCCCCAGGCCACACAGGAAGGACCCCTCTCCACACAAGGGCAGGCACACGCCTGGAACTGTGCAAGGCACAGAGGTTCAGGACACACTGTCCCTTCAGAGCTATCCTCCCCCCCGGCCAGGTTTGGGGGGGCACTCTGACAGCGGCAGCGCATGGGGGCTCGGAACACACATGGCCGAACATAGCACTGCCTCTAGGGCTGGGACCTCTCTCTTGTTCACACCAGCACTGTAGTAGGCACTTCACACACATTCATTGCATGGAGATTCATGTTGAGGTAATAATGCACCACACCTGTGTTCTCCATCACTTACTCATTTGCAGTCGGAAGTTAAGTACCTACTATTTGCCAGTCATTTTGCATATATTTCTCATTCATCCTTACAGCAATCCTGTGAGGTGAGATTTTCCCCCCCCAGTTAACAGATGAAAACACTGAGGCTCAGGTCACATGACTTTGTGTGAGCTGAGCCAGAATTCACACCAGGTTTGCTGATGCTCATGGCTAGAGCCACTCTCCATCCAAACCCTACTTCAGACAGGGCACCAGGCCTGTGGGGGGGGGGGGATACAAAGAGGTCACTCCCCCCCCCACGCAGTCCCACCAGGCCCAGACCCTGCCCTGCCAGAGGCCTCCAGTTCCAACCCCGCTCATGCCTAAACCCTACTCATGCCTCAAACCCCTGCGCGGCCATCACCGGGTTTGGGAAGGGAGCAGGTGCGCCTGGCTTCTCCCCTGAGAAAGGTGCGCAGGTCGGTGTCCGTGTAAAGATGCAGATGCGAGCGCAAGTCAGTGCTTCAGACGCTGCAGTGTTTGTGCAAGAGGTTTGCTCGGGAGCTGGGTGTGTGCGCGCGTGTCAGACTTGTGCAAATGCGGACGGCTGCATGTGCGTGCTAGTGTCTGTGAGCTGGTGTCTAGGAGTGTGTACGGGTGCGTGGGGACACGTGTGAGAGTGTGCTGGCAGGTCTGCGCCCAGAGAGGGAGCCGCGGTTGCCCCACGGGAAGGGACCCAGGGCTGAGAAGCGGGTCAGTGAGGGTGCGTGAGCGGCCAGCGGGCCCCGAGGAGGAGGAGCAGACCCTCAAGAGTCGCTGGCCCTCACAGCGAGGGGACCTCGCGCAAGACTTCGGTGAGCCTCAGTTTCTTCCCCTGCTAAATGGGCGGAGTGGAATTAGTGCTACTGCGCTCCGCCAGGTGTCTGGTCCCGATTGTGGACCGATTGTGTACTTTGTGCCCCAAATGCTGGACTCTCCGCGCCCCCACGGCCCGTCCCCTTCCCTGACCTTCAGCCCCTGTCACCAGGTGGCGAGGAGTGAGGGCCGGAGGTTCCGTCCCCTCTCCCCTGCTCCCCGCCGCACCCCGTCGCTCCCTCCCTGCAGCCCGGGTCACCCCGCCCCCTCCTCCTCCCCCTCCGCCGACCCCGCCCCCCAGCCGGGGCTGCGGCCACAGGTGCGCGCGGCGGGCGGCGCCGGGCGCTGGGAAGGGGCGGGGCGCCCGGCGCACGGCGCTGCGCTCCGGGGCTCCGGGCGCGCGGTCCCCCGGGCCCCCCCGCCGCCCGCCCGCCGTGCTGTCCGCGGCCGGCAGGAGCGGGCGCGGCGCGGGAGGCGGCGGCGGCGGCGGCGGGGACGACCCGGCAGGAGCGGCGGGGAGCCGAGCGGAGCCCCAGCCCCTTCCCGCCCGCCCGCTGCGCCGGCGCCGCGCGTGAGCCCCGGGCCCGCGGAGACATGAGCGCCCGGCGGCCCGACGCACCCAAGGCGCAGCGGCCCGGCCCCGCGGCCCCGTGATGGGCTCCTGCGTGTCGCGAGGTGAGGGGGCCGCCGGCCGGGTGGGGGGCGGGGGCCCGGGACCCCAAGCCGAGGATGCTCGCACGTCCGCGCTCGGCGGCTCCGAGGAAGCTGGGGGGTGGGGGTGGGGGGGCCACCCGGCCTTCCCGACCGGTACCACCGCACGCCACCCCACCGAGCCCCAGGGGACACGGTGCCCCAGGAGGACGGGGCGGGGGGGGGGGCGGGCAGCGCGGGGAAAGCATGGGGAGGTCACCGCATCTCCAGCCGGCTTGCAACCACACCCAGGCAGGTGTGGCTTCTGGAAGCAGGGTCGCTTCTAACCCCACAGCCACACACCCCCTGCCGCGTGCTTGGGGGGGAGGGATGGCTTCGCTGGAGGGCCGGTGCGGGCACCAGTCTCTCCTTCCCACACCCCCCCCCCCCAAGACACGGGCCTTACTTGCTCAAGGCGGGCACTTCTGTCCCCTTACCCCATGCCCCTGTCTTCAGAGTCCCGGAACCCCACGGGCAGCAATGGGTTAATGGACATGAACAGGTTATAAAGATCGTATCCCTTCCCCCACCCTCATCCCTAAGTCCTCTTCCCCACCCCCATTCGTGGTCAGAGGACTGGAAGGGACAGAGACAGCTGATGTTCCCAGGAACCCCTGGGCCTTTCTTTCCGCCTCTGAGCTTTAAAGCTGCCCTGCCCTGGCACCCCCTGCTCTCCTGTACTTCCCAAGGTGGTACCCCAGGGGTGGGAGTGAACTGCCCCAAGGGGATGGCGGTGGAGTCCTACGCAGAGCAGGGGGGCTGGAGATGGGGGGTTAGGGGGGTGGAAGTGACAAACCCACTGACCCCAACCACACAGCCTCCTCGGGGTCTGCCACCCCACCCATCACCCCCAGTTGCTTACTTTCAGTTGTAGAGGATGAACAGGCATGGGGGTGGGGGGCTGTGCAGGCCCTGGAGGGGGTCTCATCCTGGGGGGTGCTAAGGAAGGAGCACAACACCCCTCCCCCATCCTCTGGCCTCTAAGGAGCTCATCGGTCCATGTGGGACATTCAGGTCAGTGGCTGGGGTGTCTCGGGGGGCTGTCGAGGCTGGGATCGAGGGTGGGAGTGAGGTTGTGTGAGCTTCACTCACTTGTTCATTCATTAAGCTGATGTCAGCGGGACGCCTCCTGTGTGCCCGGTACTGTGTATGTGCGGGGCTGGGCTGGGCATCTAGCGGGGATGAGTCCAGTGTAGCGTCTGCCCTTGTGAGGCCTAAAGCTTGCCAGAGGGGAAGGCAGTTTTAAGAGTTCTGGGAGAGTATTTAAAGAGTCTTGAGGACTGACAGGCTCTCAGTGTGTTTCCAGAAACCAGAAGGCTCTGGGCAGGCTCTGGGTGTTGGGGATCTGAGATCTAGTGTTTCCCTGGTGATCGTGTCCCTTCCCCATCGCTCGGCCATCCCACCCCAGGGGGCCTGGGTGGACCTGCCTGTGAGATGAGAGGCTACAGACCCACTGAACACAGTTCAGGGGCCAGAGAGGAAGAGAGGTGCCTGCCAAGGTCAGCCTGGGGCTCAGGTCCTCTGACCCCCTACCCAGGGGCTGGCACCCTCTGCCATGCCTGTCTGAGGTCACCCAGGCTAAGGATGGACTTTCTTCACCCTTCCTCCTGCAGCTTGGGCTCCCGAATGTCACCTCCAGATCTAATTGTGTGTTCTAACCTTGTCCGCTTCCCAAGGGGGTGGGGCTTACAGCCCCAACATGCAGGGGGCAAGCTGCAGGGGTAAAGAAGGTCCTAGACCACTTGAGCAGAGGACAACTATGGTCCCAGGGACTGAACCACCCAGCCCCTAATTGTCACTAATGCCGTCAGAGCGCTTACGGCTTACCAGGTATTGGTTGGAGCATTTTAGGCACAACTAGCTAATTTGGGGTACGTACTATCACAGTCCCCGTTTTACAAATGGGACACTGCGCAGAGGGGGAGTTGAGTGACCTGAAAATAGTTGAGCCTGTGCCCTTAGCCTTCTGCACCACACCCCCAGCTGGTAGCCCGGGTGCCTGACCTGCTCCTCTCCAGCGACAGGCTTCCACGAGCTTCTGAGCCCCATTCTCTATACTTGCACCCAGTGCTAATAACAACTGCTTTCTCCAAGCACTTCCCCGTGCCTGCTACGCAGCCCTGAAGCCAGTCCAGGGCTGGCAAGCCTCTTGCTATGTCCATAGTCAGCCCAGAGCCCACACCCAGATGGGGCCGCCCTAGCCAAACCCCAAGCCCCAGGTCCGGGCCACACCTGGGGGGGAGAGTCACCCCATACCAGCATGGGGCAGCCCTTCACTTCTCCGTGCCAAGCCTGAGAGGTCAGGGGTGCAGATGCTGGAGCTGGCCAGCCGAGGTTCCCATCCACACCATTCACTAGCTCTGTGACTTCAGCAAGCTACTTAATCTTGGACGTATATCTCAGTGTTCCCATCTCTAAAATGGGACTAATTACCAGTATTGATGTCCTAGGGTTGCTAGGCAGGGATTAAATGACTTCATTCCTATAAAGCACTCAGAGGAGCACCCCGCAGGTAGTAAGCACTCCTAAGTATTAATATTTGCTTCATTTAAAATGCTTTCTTATCACCCTTCTGTGCGTACAGCTAAGTGAGACCCTCTTGTCTAGGAAAGGGGAGGCCACGGGGCAGCCCCATCCTGCCTCCTGGCTGCCTCCTGGCAGGCACTTGAGGTACTGAGGACTTGGGGAAAGTAATGGGGACCAGAGTAAGGCAACAAATGCTGTTTCCAGGAGCTACTTTGTATTCATCATCGACTATTAAGCTACCATTTGTCCGGCACTTAGCCTGATCCAGGCTGAGCCTTTACTTATCTGAACTAGAGTTTGTCCTCATTCAACCCTGGGGGAGAGATGTGGGGCTCAGAGACGGGAAGAGTCTTACCTGGGGTCACACAGCCAGGACACCGAGAGGCAGGATTTGAATCCAAGTCCGTGGTAGCCCAGCTCCTGGGGAGGGCCCACCTGCCCTTTGCTTTCCAATGTGCCCTACACGAGGGAGGTACCCAGTGCATGGCCAGTGCTTAAAAACAACAAACTTTTGGAATAACTCACGTGGTTGGGGCTTGGCTGCCACCGCTGGTGACAAAGTGGATGGAGCGGGGGAGTTCATGTCTGCCTCCGTCTCTCCAACTGCAGGGCCACCCCACGCCCCTGGCACTGGCACCTCTCTGCTGGCCCCTCCTGCCCCAGCCATGTCCTCCGACCAACCCATCAGCCTCCTGGCCTCACCCCGGGGGTCTCAGCACCCTGGGTGCTGGGGTGAGGGCAGAAGTTAGAGACTGAAGCCTTTCTTCTTCTTCTTCTTCTTCTTCTTCTTCTTCTTCTTCTTCTTCTTCTTCTTCTTTTTTAATTTTTAAAAATGTTTTATTTATTTCTGAGAGAGAGAGAGTGTGAGCAGGGGAGGGTCAGAGAGAGAGGGAGACACAGAGTCTGAAGCAGGCTCCAGGCAGGATCTGAGCTGTCAGCACAGAGCCCGACGAACCGTGAGATCATGACCTGAGCTGAAGTCAGATGCTAAACCGACTGAGCCACCCAGGCGCCCCAGAAACCTTTCTGGGCAGACATCTGTTATGTCTGGAAGAAGGCTCCAGCTCTGAAGAGGCCAGACAGAGCCACTCACAGTAGCCAGGGCCCACTGACTGTGACCCCGTCCCAGCCCCTCAGCACCGTCTCACCTTGCAGAGCCAGCGAGCAGTCCGATGCTGGGCACTGGGGGAGACTGAGGAAAGGAGTAGATCGGGCCTTGAACTTTAGGAGCTTACTGTCTGAGGAAAGAAACGCAACCTTGCCCATGGAGTAGTCTAAGTGGGGAGGCAGGGCACGGACATGCACACACACACACACACACACACACACACACACAAACACACACACATGGAAAAACAGCTTGAGGGATTACCACTGGTTAGTGGTTTGAGCACGATCTTTGGAATTTCAGACTGATTTAGGTTTGAACCCCCATCTCTGCTCTTATTAGCTGGTGACTTTGCAGAAGCGATTTAACGTCTCCGAGCCTCAGTTTCCCCATCTGTAAAATGGACACAGTAATACCTACTTGCAGGGGTTAAGTGAGGGCTAAACAAGAGCTAATGGATGAAAAGGCCTAGGACAGGACCTGACAAATAGTAGATGTTCAATAAGTAATGGCAGCAAATCACTGTAGGCCAGACTTTGCTCATTAGGGCTAATACAGCTGAGGCCAGTCGAGGCAGTCTGCCTGGAGGAGGTGAGGCTAGAAGAAGATGAGCTCTAGGATAGCTCATCAAAGTGACTGAGCCACAGGATGGCAGAGGAAGTAGAAAGGAGTCGAGGTGTGTGGAAGGTCCTAGAGAAAAGGGCCCATTGTCACCCTCCATCCTTGGTTGGGGATGGAAACGGACCCCCTTGCACCGCATCAACTCACTGATGAAGTTACCGCCGTGGCCCTGGTGCCCTATAAACAAATGTCCTGGGGAGCAGGAGGGCACTTTGTCCACTCGAGGCCAGGCCTCTGCCAAGCTCCGAGTGACAGCCTGCTGTCATGGCAGTGACTCACCAGGCACAGAGGCCTCCTGGTGACCTCCCTCTGCACAGTCCCCACCGTAAGCTCCAGCCCTAGGGGCAGGACCAGAGGTCACCGGTGGGGACCGAGATCTGTCCACCCCGTCCAGAAAGAGGACCTCAGGTCTGAATGGGGAAAGGGACAGACAGCCACCATTTGACGTGACGGGCGCTTCATCCTCGGGAGCCCTTTCCTGAGGATGTGGGGATTCTCATCTCACAGGTGAGCGCCCACAGCTCACAGGGGCTGTGACACCGCTGGGATTGGACCCGGGGCAGGGACTGTAAAAAGCACACCTGGCCCGCCGTGTTCTCCTCGGAGACTAGGACAGGGCCCGGACATCAGCCGGCCGGTGGCACACCCAGGGAGGCCCCGGCTGGAGGACTGCGCCGTGCACTCAGCCACAGGGGTCCTGAGAAGCTTAGAGCCGAAGCCTGCGGCTCTG